TGGAGAGAAGTCGAGTGGGAAGCCAGGCACAAGCAGAGATGATAACCCTTGTGAATAACTTTGTCATGGCGATGGGAACGCCGGTGAAAACCTGCGAGGTTTAGGAACTGTAACCTCAGAAGAAGTGCTCTAGTGGTGCCGAGGCCCAGGCCTTTGGGCTGTTGATCACAAGGTCAGTGAGGGTTCAAACCCACCTTCTGTGGTAAGGGAGACAGGTGAGGCTGGCTGCTCCCTAAAGAACCCCTTTATAGGATTGTTATGGGTTGGAATCTAGTCAATGGCAGGGGATTTGGTTTCTGATAGAAACCCAGTGAGAGAAGTTCTTGAATCTGAGCTAAAGCAAATAGAAGTGCTGATATATGGGCCAGGCAAACATGCCTTCCAAGTCAACATTTTGGACTTTTTCCTAACTTTATTTTTTAAAATCTTTTTAGAGTCTACCATGCAGAGATTTCTTGTATTCATTAAACTGGAAAACACCCTGGAAAGGTTAAGGCATTCTTAATTTTTATGCCTCAATTACAATGGTAGTTTATTCTGGTTGTTTTCTTATCAATCACAGAGCTAAAGTGAGTTTCATTGGCTCCTTGATTCACTGAAAAAAAACATTTTGAGTGCTTACCCACCTACAAGGTGGAGCAGGAGGTCGTTTTATTTTCTTCCAAAATAGAAACTCAGTGTTAATTTTTTTAAATTGTAAGATATGTGCCTGTTGCAGAGTTCAGAAATACAGCCATTCTTTGATCTTCCTTATTTGTTTTCCAGCATTTACAAATGAGATTGAAAATACCATAGTTTGGGCCAGGTTACGGCTCTCACTCACCGAAAACGGCAGCTTTCTGCAAACCAAATGCTTAGAATGTAAGTTCTCATAGAGAAGACCTGGGTAGCAAGCTGCTTCCAGAATCCCTGTGAGTCCCAGGGGTCTGCGCTGCAAACTACCATGGGTTCAGTGCAGGACCCAGCAGCAGTTTGTTCTATTGCACATAAGGTCATCATGGCCCCCTGATGGTAGTGAACCATTTTAACAATCCGTGGTAATATTACCCAACAATAACTCAGACTTACTGATCTCCTAGTCTGTACGGAGTATAGTAAATGTTTTTACTGGCTGTTATCATCCCTATTTTACAGCTATGAGACTAAGGCTCAGAGGTTAGGGTCTTAAAACTCTAGGGTCTTAAAACTCTAGCAAGTGGCAGAGCCAGGATTTACAGCTGGCAGGCTGGCTCCAGGGTTCATTCTCTTTACTCTTCGACTCTGCTTACAGTAGGTTTGCAGAGGGTGATTAGTGGATGGATAACCCTTAAGGGAGGACCGGAGGAGCACAGCAGTAAGTGCACATCCGAAGTCATTTCACTTTGTGTCCCTTCCTCTCTCCTTAGCTAGCCGTGGCCCCCGAGGACCTAACGGACCTCTTCTCTCACTGCCTCAAGCATTGAAAGTGCACCCTCACCATGCTCGCTCTCTCTACCTTATCACCAGCCTTAACCCACACCTCAAGTCTATTCCTTATCCTCTAGGAATAACCAGCTCATTCATGGACTTACCCAATACTTCTCAGGTATCTACTATGCTATTCATAGTTGCCATCAAGTCAGTCTGTCTTTGCACTCCCCCCCTCCCCCTTAAAGTATAACAGGATGGAACACATCCTGATTCTCTTTATCAGTTGTGGCCCTAACTGTGGATTTAAATGGCTGATTTTTGGAAGTTTGTCACCAGGGACATCTCCACTGCGCATGAAGTCAATGGCTATCAAATCCCAGTTTCTCACATAGAAGGTGAGAGGGAGGCTGCTAACTGTAAGGTCAGTCGTTTGAAACCACCAACCACTTAGAGAGAGAGAGAGAGAGACTGACAGACAATCTGCTCCTTTAAAGATTTAGGGGTTCGGAAACTCACAGGGACAGCTCTACCCTGTCCTGTAGGGTTGCTACGAGTCAGCATCGAAACAATGGCAGTGAGTTTATGTGTGCTTGATTTTTAAATAGTGGATCAAGTAAACTCTAAACCTTTCCTGGCTTTTTTTATTTGGGAGAAATCTTCTGTCATCCCTAACCTAATTTACTGCCTCATGATTAATAATTGTTGAGTCTTCTGAAACAGTCAACTTGTGAATGAGTGACTTTCTGCAACTGTGGTAATTCATCAAACAGAAGAATTGTGTGTGTTGTTCATCAACTATATCATAGCTATGAATAAGGACCAGGTGTATCTGGTACCGCGGTATCTTTACATGGTGTACCTGGCACCATGGTGCCGAGAGATTAATGAATCTTAGTTGCTGTTCACCACCATAGCATTCCTCTTCTCCCACCACGTCCACTGCCCTCTCTTTGTGGGTACTGTCGAGTTGGTTCTGATGCAGAGGCCCTATGCACCAGAGTTAAGGAAGCCTTACCCAGGTCCCTCCCACCCTCACAGCTGTCAGGGGTGAGCCCATTTGTTGGAGCCACGGTGTCATCCCAACTAGTTGAGGGTCTTTCTCTTTGTACTCATCCTCTACTTTGCCCAGCACGATGCCCTTTTTTAGGAACTGATCGTTCCCAATAACATGTTCAAACTATGCCATCCTCATTTCTAAGCAGCATTCGAGACATGTACTTACTCCAAGACAGATACGTGTGTTCTTCTGTCAGCCCATGGTACTTTTAATATTCTTCATCTCTACACCATAATTCAAAGGCATATCACCTCTCCTTTGGCCTCTCATTACTTCGGGTTCCAGCTTCTCCCTGTGTGTGTGAGGTGGTGGAAAAGACCATGGCTTCTGTCATACACTTGATTTCTCAAAATGACCTCTTTGTTCTTTAACAGATCTTTTACAGAAAATTTACCCAATGTTATAATAGTACATCATCTGATTTCTTGATTGAAACTTCTGTGAACATTGGTTGTGGATCCATGAAAACGAAGTCCTTGACAAGTCCAGTCTTTTCTTTGTGTATCACAATTCTGTCTAGGGGTCCACTTGTGAGTATTTTTGTTTTGTCTATACTGAATTATAATCCATACCGAAGGCAGCGTAGTTTTACTCCTCATCAGTAAATGCTGTTTGAACAGCAACACAGAGAAGCCAGTCCTTCAAATCGACAGACAGGTGGTAGCGTACAGAACCCATTGTTCTCGGGGTCTCCCATCCACATACTAACCGGGCCAACTCCTGTCCGCTTCCAGGGTAGACAAGGCGGTGCGCACTCAGGGTGCATGGCTGTAGACCTCTTTGTAGCAGGAGGGGAAAGAAGCCTGTGGAAACAAGCTCCTGGGAAGCTTCGTGTGTTCCTGAGCTTAGGGGCCCAGGGGAGTGGGAGAACGCACTGCACAGGATTGGTGGTGAGGTCCGGAGTATATTGTTTTTCCTCCGTGCTGACCACAGGGGAAATCTGCCTACTTTGGAAATTCTAAGAAATACTGAATTCAATATTAAGTCTTTATTGTTTCTGTTTCTTGATATTAAAAAAAAAAAATAAATCCCTCAGAATGTCCCAGGACCACCGGGGTTTCTAGTCCAACCCCTTTAGTGACTTCCATTGGGGAAAGGTCTGGTGGTGCAGTGGTGACAAGTTGGGCTGCCCACTGCAAGGCCGGGAGCTGAAACCACCGGCCGCTCTGTGGGAGAAACATGAGGCTCTCTACTCCGGCAAAGAGTCACGGTGTCAGAAACCCCCGGGGCCAGTTCTACCCTGTGCTGTAGGGCCGCTGTGCGTCTGAATTGACCCCGTGCCAGGGAGAGCGTTTTGGGTTTTGAGTTTTGAGGAGCTTCTCTAGCACCCTTCCTCCCAGTGTCATTTGTAATCTTTGTAGTTTCCGCATTTCTAGCCATCAAGATAGGGACTGAATGAAGACCTGCAGGAATCTAGCTGTTTGGGGTGCTAGCTCACTACGCTGGCTTCTTGCACCTTGCTTTTCCACCCAAACGTAAGGACTTTAGAGCTGGTGGGGACGGCAGATCTTTTCTTATGTGGTTGACAAGAGTGTGGCACGCGTGCCACCGCATTCTCTCGCCATGCCCATGGCAGATAGTACTCAGTGATGACTGTATTTTTCCTGCGGGAAATAACAACCCTTAGAATCCACCTGAACATAGCATTCCAAGCTGCTGCTGCCGTGGCTTGGGTGACTGACGTGAGGTGAAACTTGTTAACCTATGACTTGTCACCTACCCAGACGCCTTCCATTTCCCGGTGGAGATGCAGAGCAGGCAGGGAGGATTTGCCCATCGCCACAGAGTTGGAACTAAGCTCCGCGTGTTCTGGGGCCTGGCACCTGTGTTCTTCCCACCGGTTTGTCTCCAATTCACTGTGGGCATAAAACCCCGGGAGCCAAGCCTGTTGGAACTGTGTCAAAGAAGATGCAGGGGCAGGTGAATAAGGCGCCCTCCCTCCTTTTCTGAGTACGGCACATGGTGTCTGTGTCTGCGTGTATGCAGCAGTTAGAAGTACTGTGTACACTGTGGTGTGACATCTGTGTGATGTCACACATAGTGTGATCTTTGCTGTTCCCAATTGGTAGTGTTGCTCGCCGGACATTTTTGGATGATAAAGGTATTGTGCGTTTTCGTTTAGCCCAAGAACTGAGAAGGTACCACCAAACCAGGTTCATGTTTCTGCGCTTGTCCTCACCTAGCCCGGGTCAGTCCTTGCAAAGGCCATCTGTGCCTAAGGCCAGTGGGTGGTGCATGTTGCTAGACCGATAAGTGCTTATCGTGGTTTGTGTGTGGCTATGTGGGTGGTTCTTAGACAGAGGGAAGAACAAAGTAACATGGAGGGACAGGCCAGCTGCAGGTAGTAGCCAGCAACATGTTGACCCCTTCCCTGGCAAGGACAAAGCGCCTCTATTGAGAAAAGCCTTTGCCGGTCGTGATGCTGTTTCTAAGGCAGAGCAGGGCTTCGCTGGGGGGAGGATGCCAGCATCTTGGGGTGAAGGTTTTCCCTTCTAGTCTGTTTGCAGGAGTGAATGGGCTTCTACAGAAAGAATAACTTTATGCCACATTTGCAAAGAGGCATTTACACCCATATTTTCACACACTCCCTTTATAAAGTAATGTGTATGCACGATGAGATGTAGTTAATTGAGATGGCCGTCCTGACCATAATCCCTTATGTGCTGAATTATAAATTAAACTCTGGCCTCTGTGCCGGGGCCTATAATCCCATTTTGGAAGAAGTTTTCTGTTGTGCTAATATACAGGATTCCTAACTCAAAACTCACTGTCTTGGAACCAGGCCCATGGATAGGGCAGAGTTAAACTGCCCCTGTGGGTTTCTGAGAAAGGTACTCTTTACGGGTGGAGAAGAGGGTTCAAACTGCTGACCTTATCGTTAGCAGCCCAGTGTGTAACCCACTCTGCCATGAGGGCTTGTAATGAGGGTGGGATTGAGTCACTGCTTTAGTGGAGGGTGCGAAACAAGTTACCACCCTTTGTTTCCTTGGGGCTATGGTCTGCTGAAAGACAAAAAGACACACCTGAAAGCCATTCCTTTGTGTATAAGAACCATCGCAGAAGCAGGGGCACAGAGAGAAACCGAAAGATCATTGGAAGTAGAGCACATTTGAGATCTCTCTCTGAAGTGATGGAGGCTGAGGCCAGAGGCACCAGAGGCTGTGGCAAGGGACCATGGGACAGAGCAAAGGACCCAGGCCGAGACCAGAGGCCGAGGCAAGGAGCCTATGAGACAGAAGAGGGAGCAGGGTAGAGACTGTGAGGCAGAGCGGCCGGCACGCTTCTTAGTCCATGAAGGGACCGTCTGGCTGAGGGGCCGAGGACTGGAGAGAGACTTGGCTGCTGACCATACTGTTTACAAATCCTGATTTGTGGTAACCTGTTACCTTCCCTGATGAGCCCTCATAGTGTGAGTTTTGTCTGCGAGTTCTGTGTCATCACTGCAATGCATTATGAAACTCAGCATCGAAGCAGAGTCCCCGGGGGAACGCTTGGTGGCAGAGTAGAAAAAGAAAGATGGAGAGTGGAGGCATGTCTGACCTGCCAGAGGAGGTCAGGTGTGCCCTCTGCACTGTGTCCCCCACATGGTAAGAAGTCACCCAGGAGAGCAAAACAATGGGAATCAGGGTGTCCCTTTTTTCTTGCCCACATCAAGTCCCACTCTAGAGGCAATCATGTTGTGTGCTGCCTAGTCAGCTCTGGCTCGTAGCCTAGGGGTTATTATAGATACGCACATTCACGCACACATCCAGGATTAGGGCATGCTGATTTTCCCTTTAAACAATAGGGCAGCGCATAGCTAGCTCATCCTTTGTTTAATCCGCCTAGTATAGCTGAAGAGTAAGGCCTTTGCAGTGTACGTAATAGAACGCTCCATTCCAAAGAAAGTTCATCCAATGGAATGCGGAAATGCCAGATATTTAAACTGAGAAGAGGATGTGGAATAAGAGGTGGTTGCTACTGTTACTTGACTGTTGGCGAAAGATGTTTAGCAGGGTTTTGTTGACCGTGCAAAGGCTGTGTGGATCATAACAAAGTACTGGAGACATTGCAGTGGACAGGACTCCTGGAGCACGCCTTTGTGCTCGTGCAGACCCTGTACGCAGACCGACAGGCAGTGGCTCAGGCTGAACAAGAGGACACTGTGATTGAAACATCAGAAGGGGTCCACACCTTACTGGTATCCTCCCACCATACTTAGTCTGTATGCTGAGCAAACAGTTGGAGAAGCTGGACTGTGTGAAGAAGAAAGGGGCATCCAGATGGAAGGGAGGCGCACAAACAACCTGTAGTATGCGGGTGACACCGCCTTGCTTGCTCAAAGTGAAGAGGGCCCAAAGAACGTATTCACGATAAAAGCAGAAGACTGCGGCTGCCAGTATGGACTACACCTCACCCTAAAGAAAACAAAACTCCTCACAACGGGACCAATAAACAGCACGGTGATAAAAAGAGAAACAATGGGAATTGCCAAGGCTTTCTTTTGGCTTGGAGCTACAATCAATGCCCATGGAGTCCAGAAGCACAGGTGCCCCTTCCAGGACGACGGTACCCTTCACCAAGCCACGGTGTTTGCAGTCAGCTCAGATGCCTGTGAAAGCTGGCGGTGAATGACCAAGACGACAGAACGGACGGATTTGGATGATGTCAGTGCTGAGGAGGAGTGTTGAACTGCCAGAAGAACAAACAAATCCCTAGTGAGGATGGAAAACTGTGTACTTGTACTTCAGACCAGTTATTGAGAAAGACCTGTCCCTGGAGAAAGACCTCCTGCTTGGTAGAGGGTCAGAGAAAAGAGATGAGATGAATGGACAGTGTGGCTGCCGCAGTGGACTCCAAGGTACCAGCAGTGAGGGTGACACAGGACTGGGCAGTGTTTTGTCCTGTTGTCTGAAACGTCACTGTGCCTTGGAACCGACTCGGTGGCACCTAACAATTCACTTAATTAGCCCCTTGTAGTTGAAGAATAAGGTGTGTTTAGGGTTTGCAATGAGCATCCTTACATCCTAAGTCTCTGCCTTTGTATGATATCAAAAGGATACACTTCTAGAACAATTGCAGTATTGTGTGAAATGAGTACAGCTCATCCTCCAAAGACTGTACATAATTTCTTGTGGAAAATGAAAGTCTCTCCCTGCAATGCATACAAATTAAATCCATTAACACCCTGTGATGTAATGGCACTGTAAGTGATTCAGAGTGCAGCCTGAGCCTGGGAACTTAGCCCTTTGGAGTGGTAGTACTAGTACGTTCCCTGTTTGAGGCATGCTCCCCTTGGGAGTTGACTATGCGCTCAGTACCCATTTATAGGTTTTTTTGTTTTTGTTTTCGTATCCTGATTTCAATAAAAGGCTCAAAGCACTTTAGGGACTAGTCTGGACCCTCCAGAGCTAGGAGTCTTAGATGCTGGCGCTCACCTGAGAGTACATTAGCCTGCAGTTTAAGCTGGCCGCCAGGAACTAACTTTTCTAGTTTGTACAGAGGGGCATGTTCAAGGTAATAGAGCTGGTAAGTGGCAGGGGCTACACTCAAACCCTGATCTTCACTGAATTAAGTGGGGAAGTCAGCAGAGCTATGAGATTTTCCTAGATGCTAGCATAACATTGCTTCTATGGAAGTTGTTTCCAATTTCTGCCTAGTGTGTGTTGATGTTCAGCTTAAAATCATGTATTTGTTGCTTTGCTTATTCCTGTAATTTGTTCTTGAGTCATTTGGGGGCTAGTTCCTAGAGAGTCTGTTATAGAGTCGTCCAGTAAGGGTTGGACAAGGTTAGTGGTTCAAACTCACTAGCCACTCTTCAGGAGAAGGATGAGACTCTCTGCTCCGCTAAAGATCTTACAGCCTCAGTAATCCTATCTCAGGTCACTGTGAGTTGGAATTGACTTGGTGGCAGTGGATTGGTTGGTTACACACACACACACACACACACACACACACCCCTTGAGGAAGGGTTTTGATGCACTTACGTGTTTTATTGTTAATAGCTTCTAGTCATCTAGTGCTTCTGCTGTGTGTGCCTTGTTTGAAAATTAATTCCTACCCCCCTTACAAATACAGCCTATCTAGAAAGTGGCATTCCAAATATCCTAATTGAAACTATTTTTTTCTGACAGTTTTATTGACATATGCTTCACATACCATAAAAGTTTAAACCTGAGAATTAACTTTGAATTACATTTTCTACACACTTTTTTGGGAAAGTTCTTTGTGTTTTCATTCATCTATTCTGGGAAGGTTTCTGTCCTTAGGAATTAGCTACAAGCATACTGTTACCTTTGCCTGATGGTTGGGGCAGGCACACCGGACAGAACTCTCTCTCCGCCCACACTCGTGAAGTACTGCTCTTGCCTTTGCTTTCTGAATGAGGAGCCTGACTAGGCCTTTGCTGATGGTCACAAAGTAGCCGAGCCAGTTAGAAACCCAGGCAGACTGAGTTGAAACCAGAGCGTTTACTGCCTCTGCCCTGTGATCTTGTGCTTTTAGTAAAGGTTTATTTAGTTTCCCAAAGACAAGTTAAGGATTAGAGCAGCAACTCTGCTCTTCGGCACCCACAGCCACTCTTTAGCCTGAACATGCCAAGCCTCAGGGTAGATGAGGCCTTAGACAACCACTGTGACTATTATTTCAAGTCCAAGTGATATAAATAAAGATAGTTACTCTGCATGGGAAAGGAATATTTTGGAGGTAGTTAATGTGCCCTTTGCAGAAGTTTCCCATAGCAAAATCAACATTGGAAATTTGGGGAAAGGGAAAGACTGTTTATTTTCATTGAACACAAGAGGAGTCTGTTCCTTTTGGGCTTCGTGCAGTCTGCTCCCATCGTTCCTTCCGAAGGTGAGGGATGGGAGCAGAGCTGTTCTCCTCCTAACATGCCCCACGATGTCAGACAGGACAGTTTTATGCTCATGGGTTTTGACAAGTCTCTATTGGCCTCAGCACCCTGTTTTTCTATGGTCTTCCCACCTCTTTGGTCCTTTTTCTACTTCTTTCTTCTTAGTTGATTCCAGAAATCTTTGTTTTGTTCAGGTGAACAGCTCTCTTGTTTGGCTTAATTTTGGGACATCTCCCCCCTAATGCTGACCGAGAAATATAATAGCAGACCAATTCTGATAAATGCTTTGTTCACATACTGTATGCGACTGCATATTTTCCATATAACACGTGCTTGTCAAATATGCACACAGACATAGAAGAGCACAAACTCATATAGGAAACAACATGCTAGGGGCTGGGTAGTTTGTCCCCCAACCTGTAGAAGGCACGTACTATTTGCGTTATGAAATGCCATATGTTGCTGAGTGTTCTGTTGTAAAGCTCCTGCCTTAGAAGGTTGACTTGCAGAACCATGTGGCAGGGTTGACTTTCAGAAGTTGTCTTCTGTTCCTTTTCTAGCTGGCCTGCTGCTGTGGCCCTGCCGGCTGCTCCTTATGCTGTGGCTGCTGCCCCAAGATCCGACAGTCCCGTGGCACCCGCTTCATGTACGCCCTCTACTTCATCCTCGTTGCTGTTTTGTGCTGCATCATGATGTCTGAAACCGTGTTCAAAATGATGAGAGAGCATGTGAGTCGGCCCGTCACCAGCCCTTCTTGTTTCTGTTGTTCGATTTGGGACACACTCACTTTGGTAGCTGGTACCCACCCGCCTCAGGAGCCCTTGGGCGAACACACTTGACTGCAGCTAACAAAAGTTGGGAATTTAAGTCCACCCAGGTGTGCCTTGGAAGAAATGCCTAGCAATTTACCTACTTCCATCAAAATAGCCACTGAAAACCCTACAAGCACAGCCCTACTTTGACCCAGACAGGGCCACCACGAGTCGGAGTTCCTTAGCCACTGGGCCTGCCCACCTCAGCATGGTTTGGGGTCTGTGAGCCTCCAAAGCTGCTTTCAGACTTCACTGCCAAGCAGGCAAACCAAAGGCTCGTTCGTTAGAAAGAGGATAGCTGTAATCTGATGCTGTATGCAGAGCATGTTAAATCTGAGGATTGTGTGCTCTGTCCAAGCGCTGTTAATAGCCATTCCCAATTAATGTAGTCTCTTCTTAAAAGCTTTTGTTCTTTTCCCGATCACAGGACAACAGCCAGTTTCTCAAGGGGCAGGTGTTACAGAAGTATTTGATTTGGCCTATATGGGAATTCTGGTAAATCTTAGGTAATCCCACGGACAGGGAGAAGTGGGCTGCTTTTCACCCCTCTGGTTAGAGCAGTTGTCGAGTGGGTGCCTTCAATGGTGAGAGCCGAGTTTCTGGCCTTTCCTTGGGCAGGCTGTGCTGGTAGGTGAAACTGATGGAGACACATAGGACCTCTTTCTGGGATTTTCTCCTTCTCCACAGTAGACTTCTTGATTCCCAAAGATTATAGCTGGATGTGTTGGGCATGTGGAAGAGCTCAAGGAATAGCACCGTTATCCCCTTTTCAGATTCTGAACCAACTGGGAAGAAGGCTAGAACGGAGGTAAAACAATGTGACTCAGATCTGTAGGGAGGTGCACTTCCCACAGTAAACCAGTCCTGTCTACCCAGCCACCAGGCCTGCAAGAGTGGAAGCCATCTTCCCTGAGGACAGTCCTCATGCCAGGGCAACAGGGAGAGGAAAGGCTAGGTATAGAAACCCCTTTTCTCCTCACACACTCAGCATTCGGTACTCCATCGTCTGAGGGCAGAATGAGTGAGGTTTAGATGTGGAGCGGGTCCAGGAGCACTGTTCTAATAGAGAACTTCAGGAAGGGCAGTTGTGAGCAGGGGTTCCTCCTCAGCCGTACACCGAAACTGACTATTTTACATTGGAGTATACGCAAGGACTTCAAAACAACCACTTTGTTAAAAGGACTAGATACCTTCTTATCCATTGGTTAAAAGTAGGCCCTTTGCATGGGGAGGAGACGAGCCAGTCAGGGTGCAGGGTAGCAATGATGAAACATACAACTCTCTTCTAGTTATTTAATGCTTCCTCCACCCCACTATCATGATCCAAATTCTACCCTACAAATCTGGCTAGACCAGAGGATGTACACTGGTACAGATAAGGACTGGAAACACAGGGAATCCAGAATAATGAGGACCATTAATGAGAGTAGTGATACCAGGAGGGTAAGGGGAAGGTGGGGTACAAAGAGGGAACTGATCACAGGGATCTATATATAACCCCCCTACAACCGAAAAGTAGGGGAAGGGAGATGTCAGACAGTTTAAGACATGACAAAATAATAATAATTTATAAATTATTGGGGGTTGGTGAGGGAGGGGGGGAATGAGGAGCTCATACCAAGGGCTCAAGTAGAAGGAAAGTGTTTTGAGAATGATGATGGCAACAAATGCAAACATGTGCTTGACACAGTGGATGGATGGATAGATTGTGCTAAGAGTTGTACGAGCCCCCAATAAAATTATTTTAAAAAAGAACCAAAAACAGGGGGGGAAAAAGTAGGCCCTTTGAGAGCTTCTGCTGGGTAATGCTTTGAGAATGGTCTCCCAGCACACTCATACACAGTGTGTCCTTTTATGTCTGCCTGCCTGCCTCAGCACAGTGTTTCAGGGTCCCCCGTGCCATAGCATGGGTCAGCACTCATTTCCCGTGATGGCAGAGCAATGCGATTCCCATTTCTTTATGACCGAGGAGTAATAAATGCCATGTTTGTTTCCCATTCACCAGCTGATGGGCATTTGGATTGCCGCCTTGTGTCTCTTGTGAACAGTGCTGCAGTGAACATTGGTGCACAGTGTCTGCTTAAATTCGTGATTTAGTTCTATCACCAGGAGTGGAATTACTGGCACATGTACCAAGCCTGTGTTTAACTCCTTGAGGAACAATAGTGATTATTTTTAATAGCTAATATTTATCGGGTGATGTCATGCACCAGGCGCTATTCTGAGCATTTCCCTGTATCACATCATGTAATGACCATTCGCTCACCTGAGCCGCAGGTGCTATCATTAAACCTGGACTACAAATGAGGAAACTGAGCATGGAGTCCCTTAAGCACCTTGCCTGAGTGATAGTTGAGATTTGAACCCCAGCTGAATGTGTTCTTAGCACCGAGGCTGTGTAGGTGGAGAGAAGAAAAAAGAACAAGGATACGGATGGTCTATTAGGAGAACAGAGGGGAGCTACCATTAGGGTGCAGTGCTGTGACCGATTCTGGGAATGATGGGAAACCAGGAGCCTTGAGCAGGAGGTTGTCATCCTGGAAACAGGGAGATGTGTGGTGGGAGGTGAACCCAACAGTGGTGTGTGTGTGTGTGCAGGATGACACAACTCTGAGAGCCATTTAGGGGAGGGAGTGAAGAAGGAGCCCCAGCACTATAGAGACTCTCTTAAACATTTCTTTGATGGTCCCCTGAATGTACTTATTTAAAACTGAGCTCCCTGCATAGGGAATGAGGTGCATGTGGGCGAAACCAATCCTTTTCCAGTCTTAGGGCCCTACAGGGAGCTGGCCAGATGGTCACAAAGTCAGCTTGTTCCATGGGCTATAGAATAGAGGCTGACCTCATCCCTGGCCGGGGCTTGAGAGCGGGTGTTGAAAGGTCCCCTTGTGGGGACTCACGCTGGGCCTCTCCCTCTCTTTGTTGGCCTGTGGAAATGTGAGAGATGTGATTGGAAGAGGAGAAAGAACTGCACGTTTGTGAGGACCCGGCGGGAGTGGGGAATTGTTGCCCACCCAGCATTCTCGCCTTTCTCTGCCATGCAAGGAGCCTTCTGGCCAGAGGCACGTGGGCTGTGGTATGTGGGTTAAGAACACCAGGCAGCTCCCCTCTGTTTTTCTTTGTTTCTACATGCGCCTGTGGTTAAGGGGGAAGAGAAGTAGGGCCAAGCTTTGCCCGCTCCTTCTCGCTTTCCCGGAGAACTTTAGCTCAGAGGAAGCTCTCCAGTGCCGGCCTTCTGCCTTCTTGGAGCCATTTTCCCATCTCAAAAGTCTTGGAGCACTTTTATTACGGGTCTTGTTTATCATTAGCCATGTAATCCAAGCAGACACAGTCTTGCTGTCTGATGTCTGGAGAAATTAAAAATCCATTTAAGAATGTGAGCTCCAAGGAAGGAAGGAGAAGGGGAGGGCCCGGGTGCAGTGTGAAGAGGGGGAGGAGAGGCTTAAGCCTCCCGACCAGCACCACTCAATCACGGTGGGATCGCTCTGCTTGATGGCACGTGAGAATACGTTCTGCTTTGGCAGCCTGGCAAGCTGCACAAGTACTCTGGGACAGAGGAGAAAGGTAGGCCTTTTGTATTTCCTGCACCAGGACTCACAGAATTCAGGGTCTCTAAAACCAAAACTGCACCGGGGAAGGAAGGTGGGTGACTGTGGGACACAGGCCTTCTTCCCTGAGAGCTCAGCGTCCCAGGCAGAGGCGGGGCAAGCCTTACATAGTCCTGGCCCGCAAATCTGAGATTCAGCTTCTTTAGCATACCATCCTCTTGGTCCCACACAATCAAAAAACCAAAACTCACTGCCATCCAGTCCGTGCCGACACACAGCGACCCCATAGCACAGGGTAGAACTGCCCCCGTGGGTTTCTGAAACTGTGCCTCGTGGTGCTGCTTTCAAGCTGCTGACTCTGGCTTTCGCAGCCCCATGCAGAACTGCTACCCCACAGGGCTGTGCCAATTCATTGAGATGATGGAGTCTTTTGCATTTTATTTTCTCCAGAAGCCACACACATCATAAGCAACATGGTGAAATTATTTGTCGTGTACATGGTGTGTGGAAAGAATTCTAATCAAGGAAGACTGATTAGTATTGTCATCGCTAATGTCATTGCTAATTAACTTTAAATTTTGAATGACTTTTTGTATTGAGCAGTGAGACTACCATGATCTTAAATTTGGTGGTGATCTTTTTTGTTTCATGAAACCTTTTTTTTTTTTTTTGGTTGGGGTAAACTTACTTCATCTCTTCTGGAAATGGGCTCACTTTTCCTTATATATAATTTGTTGCCTGCGGGTTGGGTTATAGTTTTCCTCTGAATGGGTGGTAATCCACATGTTGAGATTGCTAACTGTGGATTTGAGCTCTTAGAACAAAAATAGTGATTACGTGCCCCTCAGAAAGTATTGTTAAACCTTTTTCATTAACATCAAAGGGTGAGGCTATTTCACACTTTCTTAATCAACATCAAAGGGTGAGGCTATTGCTTGCTGGCATGGCCTCCATCCGTCTTGGTCTGTACACTTTGAAGGCAGTGTCTCCATTTCTCTCACCCTCCCTGAAGAATGCTAGACTCTCTGATTTACACCATCTCCGGTTGGCACTTGTGGCATCCTCAGGACTCAGATTGGCTGTAGGATGGATGGGGTAAGGTTTCCCAACTAGTTCTCATAGGACAGACCTTGTTGTGCTTGAAGAATGGACAGGTGCATTAATGTCAGGGCTCAACTTCCCTGGCCTTTTTTTCACCAATGCAGTTTTCAGTTTTCTTAAAACTTCTTTCTAATAAGCCCCTGTGATCATCCTGTGTCCTTGAAGAAAATGTATAAGGGGTATCCCTTTGGGATCCCCCCAAACACTCACCGTAATCTTATTGGCAGACGTCTCTGTTGTGAACTTAACTAGCCCAGCAGATCCATC